CACCCCTGTGGTGCTCAGGAGCCCAGTTATGTCACCCCTTGTCTGTAGAGCTAGCAGTCTCTCGTCCTTTTCCAAACACCCTCCCTTGTGGAGTGTTTCCCCTGCCTCCTATCTCCCCTCTCCTTGTGAGTCCTCCGGGCTGCCACTCCTGGTCTCTGAGCTGCCCACCCTGCCCCAAAGAGGTGTGTCTCTTCACACTGCCCCACAGGGGCCTGGAAAACACCCCCTGGCCAACCCCAGACACACCATTTACCTGGGGAGATTGTGGCCAGGGCTGCTGCAACAAACAGCTATGCAAGCCTTTGGGAGGCAGAGACACGAGAGGGCATCAGAGGAGGAGGGAAAGAAAGAGGGACAGAGGCCAGTGTTGCCCGCAGCACCCTGACCATCATTCAAGGCATCCCAAGGTGCCATGGCACACTGGTTGAAAACCATGGGTATAGGACATAAAGAGTAGAATTATATGTGGCAACATGTTATTTTTCATTTTTTATCTGTTCAGAGACACTTTTACATGTGGACGATAAAGCACTGTGGAGCAGTATGCAACCCAGTGGCTGTTGCTGCCCACTGATACTGGTAAGGCAGAAGGCAGGCATGCCAATAGTGGGTGGAGCCAGAGCCAATGACAGACAGAGCCAAGTGATTTGATTTTTCTCCCCATCCTGCTCCACACTGAGTCCCACTAGGACAAAGCTGAGACTAAGGAGGAGGAAGCTGACAGCTAGTCCCACCCCCTGGAATGGTTGTAAGTAAAAATTGGGGGTAAGGGCAGAGTGAGGTTTCTTGCACAGTGCTCTGTTGGCCCCAACAGACCAGCCTCCACTGAAACTATAACTATGCATTGGAAATTGGGAGTTCATATACCGTATTTTTTGCTCTATAAGACTCACTTTTTCCCTCCTAAAAAGTAAGGGGAAATGTGTGTGCGTCTTATGGAGCGAATGCAGGCTGCGCAGCTATCCCAGAAGCCAGAACAGCAAGAGGGATTGCTGCTTTCACTGTGCAGCGATCCCTCTTGATGTTCTGGCTTCTGAGATTCAGAATATTTTTTTTCTTGTTTTCCTCCTCCAGAAACTAGGTGCGTCTTGTGGTCTGGTGCGTCTTATAGAACGAAAAATACGGTACTTTCTAAGAGGGACGCGGGTGGCGCTGTGGGTTAAACCACAGAGCCTAGGACTTGCCGATCAGAAGGTTGGCGGTTTGAACCCCCGCAACGGGGTGAGCTCCCTGTGATGGCCTGGGAATCTGACTCAGAAGCTGAACCTGAGGAGTCCCAGCCTGCACAGGAGTCCCCGCCTCCAGGGCCAGCTGAGCCGGGGCAGGGCCTTGAATCTGAAGTGCCTGCACCTGTGCCGGGTCCTCAGCAGCAGACACCAGATGAATCCACTCTGGCTCCGGAGGTGATTGAGGACCCATTGCCTGCATGTGCTCCTCTCCCAGCTCTGTCAGGAGCAGGTGAGGCTGCCTCTGGGTCCAGTGACCCTCCAGCCTCTCCTGAGCTGCAGAGGCTCAGGGCAGAGAGGCGGAGGGAACTAGGTTCTCTTAGGAGGAGTGCTCGCCTTAAGGCCAGGAGAGGTGGGTCACCTGTGGGCCGGGACCGCCCCTGGCCTCAGAGGAGATAAAGGCCAGTCAGCCCAGGCCCAGGTTGCAGGAGCAACGACGTTGGAAACCTGTTGCTGCCAGTACCCGGACCTGTTTTTCCGGAGTTCCCGACCACGCCCGCCTTCTTGCTTTGGACCCCGCTTCCCCCTTGGTGGACAGTCTCCAGACCCTCGGCCCAGGACCGGACTCTGACCACGCCTCACGGTAAACCCCCCCCCGGGACGGGGTGAGCTCCCGTTGCTTGGTCCCAGCTCCTGCCAACCTAGCAGTTCGAAAGCACATCAAAGTGCAAGTAGATAAATAGGTACTGCTCTGGCGGGAAGGTAAATGGCGTTTCTGTGCGCTGCTCTGGTTCGCCAGAAGCGTCTTAGTCATGCTGGTCACATGACCCGGAAGCTGTACGCCGGCTCCCTCGGCCAATAAAGCGAGATGAGCGTTGCAACCCCAGAGTCAGTCACGACTGGACTTAATGGTCAGGGGTCCCTTTACCTTTACCTTATACTTTTTAAGTTATTGTTATATCTGAAAGGTAACTCTTTTTGTTTGTTGTCCTAGGTGGAGCTTTAAGCCTGAAACAAAGCAAAAGATCCATAGCTCATTTACAAATCCTAGACACCATGGAACTTGTAAATAAAGATTATTTCTTGTAGGCATCAAATATTTTCTGCCTTTTCCTGGTAAAATTCCCCAAGGCTACTAGTGAACTGCATTCACAAGGTGGCACTTGAAAGTTTATGGTATATTGTCATATATGAAGGGGTTTGTTTTTCACATAGGATGCTCCTCAACCTCAGAATTCAAAGTTTCCAGCAGTCCCTGAAGCACACTGAACTGTGTGACATCAGAGCAGCTAAGCCAATGGCAGCCAGAAGGGTCACAACTTGCTTGCCAATATGGGCTGTAGTAGAACACCTGAGTAGATCAACCAATGGCATCAAGGGAGCCATAGCAAGCAGGGGAAACATAAGGAAATAAGGAGCAACAGCAAGGGAAGACTCACGAGGGCTGTTCAGGACCATCTGAGAAAGGCTTAATGGTGTAGCCCTTCATATGGTAGATATGTAAGCAATTGGACCGTGAAGTCCTGGGTGGCTTGTGGACGAAATGTTCCGACACGCTGCCAAGAAGGCCAAGAAATAATTGAATTCCTATACTTTAGTCCATCTCACTCCTCCTCTACTGTCATTGCTCTTCGGGGGATACACCCATCTCCAGAACAGCGTGGCTGGATCTAGGACAGATCCGGTGATTTGCCATGAAGAAAGAAGTAATGAAAGCACTCATTAGAGGGAACCCTATTAGACCAGGAAATTTTTTAATCCCTGTCACACAGTGGTAAAATGTTGCCAGCCTGAAACTCTTAAATCAAAAGCACTTTCTGAGTGTAAAGAGGAGTGACTCCTTTCTGCAGCTTCCTTGGTACCATCCCTCTGCCATAATGCTGAGGCCTTTTGCTTTCTTTAAATGCAGGGGTCTAACTAATTACTGGCAGGAAGTGCTCTTTTTTTATTTCATTGGTATGCAAATTAACAGAAGTAGAAAAATATTCTAAAGAAACTGTTACAATATCTGTCCGCAGCCTGATGGCCAATTAGAAAATGGTATTGTATCAAGCCTTATGGCTGCAAACTGTTCTCACTTGAATGGCTTGAAGTTGAGTTTTCATGGGGGCTGTGGCTACTAGGCCTCTTAGAGGGAGGGGAAAGGTATTTCAAGTGAGGAATTCTAAATTAAGAAACATTTTCTGATTAAGCCAAAAAGAAAAGAAACAAAGAAAGGAAAAAACTAACTTGAGGATTTGCCTGTTTTATACTTACCACCAGTAAGCTCTGCAAAACACACACACACACACACACACACACACCACCTCACAAAACTTTATTTAGCCAACTTATAGGGTATCCTCAGAAGTTAGGACCAGGATTGTGTGATACATGTCACTTTATTCTGCAGACACATTCCAAATAAAGGTAGGGACACTGAAAAGCATCTGTGTTGTATATATTAATGGGACAAAAGTATACAGAATTTCCTCTGGAGGATTGCATCCAACATCTGGCTTTCCAGTGGTGTAAACAGTATAAAGAAAGCTTAAAGATTTTTATAATGGATGGTTGAAAAGGGCTACATACTGTGAATACAATATATTGTTTTCATACAATTATTCCGTACTTCCTGCTTCCACTTAAAAACTTGCAAGAACTCCCAATCTTGTGATATTTTGGCGCTTCTGCTTGCAGAGGACAGTGGGAAGCAGAGAAGCACATGAGAAAGAGGAGGAATAATGAACAAGCAGCTTCCTGAGCCAATCAAAGGGAGTTTGAGGCGGTTTGTTTCCTTATAGTACCCAGTAATATATGCAAATATATAATATTCTGGATGTAGAATTTTTTTATGAAATAAATTATTTGTGACATTTACTTTCCACAACCACCCATGGTTCCCTTTTTGCAATCCGTTCTTGCTTTCTGCAGTAGTCAAACATGCATCTCTAGTGTTTACTAAATATATCTAATGGGCTTCAGCTAGCCCACAAATGTTTACGCCACACCAGAATCAATTTTCTGTTCCTTATGGTGTCACAGGACCCTATGATGTTTTCAATAATTTGCAATAACCTAGAGTGGCATTCAACTAAGCTTTACTCAGAGCAGACTCATTGAAGTTAATGAACATGACTTAAGTTAGGTTCATGAGTTTCAACAGGTTTACTTTGAGTAAAACTTAGTTGAATGCCACCCAAAGTAGAGTAGTACCTTGGTTTACGAACTTAATCCATTTCAGAAGTCCGTTCTTAAACCAAGGTGTGATTTCCCATATCAGCAGGGGACTCAGTTTACAAATGGAACACACTCAACAGGAAGCAGAACATGTTCTTATTCCAAGGCAAAGTTCACAAACCAAAACACCTACTTCCGGGTTTGCAGCGTTCTTAATCCAAGTTGTTCATAAACTAAGCTGTTCTTAAACCAAGGTACCACTGTTTTCACTTAGGAATTCGAATTAGCAGGGTTTGCAAAAAACAGAATAAGGAATGTTTTACATTACCTAGAAACAGAGTTAGGAAGAGCAGAAACTCCTTCTTGCCATCTTTTAAGGGTTATTGGGGTAGGGTGGACACCTATTAAATTTCTTCTATAGGCTTTTTTCTGTTCCAGTGGGGGTATTTTAAAATAGCTTGTCTATGTGAACCACACAGCCAAGTCATGGACCCCCTACTTTTGAAAATTTTGATATGTCTGTGGTAGCTTTTGGTACGTTAATGGTGTGACAGACTCCTGTGGTGGGTTATGCAGACCCCTTGGGGTCTCCGACCACCGACTGGGAACCATTGGTCTATGCTGACCGGTAGTGGCTTTTCAGGATTTCAGACAGGGCACATTCCCAGTTTTACCTGGTGATCTCAGGATTAAACCTGGGGCCTTTTGCATGCAAAACTGATGCTCTACCAACTGAGCTATGGCCCTGTCTTGTGGAGAAACATGCAGGTGTCCTTAAAGGATGGGTGTACTTTTGAAGATTCTGGGATTTCCCTGGGGAGCGGGCGGGGCGGGGGGAATTACTCTCTAAATGAATGTTCATCGGTGCTGAAGACTATGTGCTCTATGTACGGATTAGCGGCGATGACAAAAGCCAAGCCGGGTTTTGCGCGCCCTGTTTCATTAACACGAAAGGATCGTGTACATGTCTCGCCGTGAATTAGCCAGCTTGGGCTGTGATCTTACACAGGAAGCCCCATAGAGCGGATAGTTCTAAAATAGTTCTAAAATATACGATGCCTCTCCCCAGTGAGTTCGTCCACGTCCCTCCTCCCTCTACCAAGTATGCCCAACTAAGTCTGTCCTAAACCTACTTCCTTGGAAGTAAACCCCGCTGAAGCCAAGGGGGCTTACTTCTGAGTAAGCGCGGCTCGGTGCACTGGAGAAGGCCAGCCGGGGCCAACGCGCCGGCGCACCTGCAACGCGGGTTGCTCGGAGGCGCCGCGCGTAAAAGGGAGAAGCCGAGTTGCAGCTGCTGCTGCTGCTTCGCCCGGGCCGACTCTTCCTCCCTTCCGCGTCGGGGCGGAGAGCGAGCGGGAGGCGGAGCCGGGGAGGCCGCGCGTTGCTGCCGCCGCCGGCCTCCAGGAGGGGACCAACGAGGAGGAGGTGAGTTCCCCCCCTCTGGGTGGGGTGAAGAGCCAAGGCCGCGCGAAGAGCCGAGCGGGGCGGGAAGGGGAAGGGCGCCGGGCTGCGGGCGCGCTGGCTGCCTCGGCGCCGCAGCTGCACACAGCAAGGCGGGCAGGCGAGAGAGCAGAGCAGCGGGCCCAGGGCGCGCTGCAAAGAGCCGCCTTGGCGCGGCCGGGGACGGGCTGGAGGCGGGGGCACGTTGCTTGGGCGGCCCCCTCGGCGCTGGCGAATATGCATATGAAAGGAGAGCGAGCGAGGGAGGCGGCGGCGCGGGGGGAAACGCCAGCCTCCCCGGAGGCGCCTCTCCTCTGCCAAGACCTGCAGGGACCCCTGTCGTCGGGCCCAGCAGTTACTGACGGGCCGAATATCCGAGGTCGGCGGAGCGCCGGCGAGGCTCCCAAGCCAAGCTCCCTCCCCGAGAAACCTCACTCCTCTGCCCCTTGCCGGGCGCTGCCTCTTCGTGGGCTTCGAGGCGCGGACGTCTGCTGCATTCAGCCATGAAGCAGGCTTAAGTTGCAAGAAGGAAAAGAGTGTTCCGGAGCACGTGCAGAGTGCTTTTCCGTGTTAAGCACCAACACCCACATATTACGAGGCTTCCTGGCAAGCTCGAGGTTTAACCGCTCATTTTAGAAATAAAAAGCATTGCGAGGGGGCGGGCCTTGAAGGACAATAAACCTCCGCAGTGGAAAGCGGTGGTGAGTGTTTATGGGGAGGGAGAGTAGCTTTGAGTGGGAGAGCACCTGCTTTGTATAGTGAAGGGTCCAGGTAGACCCTCTTGCAGATCCGTAAAGGGCTGGGCAGCTTCCAGCTTCTGAGGCCCCTAGTAGTATTAGTAGTAGACATAATTATTATAGAAGTAATAATAATAATAATAATATAGTAAGGGGAGGACACACAAAAGTAAGTTGCCAAAAAGGAGTGAGTGGATTGTTTATATAATCAACTACTCTGAAGACACATTCATCGCTGTCCAATCTTGTGCTGTCAGAACTGATACATTTTTACTAAAATGACAAAATCTGTGTCCGTTGACAAACACACATACACACACTACCAAATCACATCTCTTAACTTGCTAAAAAAATTCAGCTCTAAGCTGAGAGTGGGTGTCACATTTTGGTGTGATGTGCATAGTCGCAAAACTTCTCAAATGCCAAAAAAATTACAAGTGTCGAAATGTGAGTTCTCCTTTGAGCTTGAGGCCTAGACCAAATGGCCCTCCTGGCTCACTCTCTACTTGGTTCTGGTCTAAAATTCAACCCAGGTGTCTCCAGTTAGAAGGATCAGGTAGTAGTGGGTGACCCGAATAAGACTCTGGAAAGCAGGAGCCAGTCACAGTGCTTGCTGAGCTTGAGAAATGGTCTGTGCTGTTAAGGCAGCTTCCTGCTTACTGTTTATGTAGTAGAAGAAACCAAACACTGCTGCCCCAACCTTTCTCATGCTGGGGTTTCTTAGGACATTTTAAAGGGCATTTGCTGAAGGTTTCAGTTTTCTAAATTTATGGAGATTCTCCTTTTACCAGTTAGTAGTAGGCACAGATTCCTGTAGACAGAATGCGGAACATAGGTAAAGGTAAAGGGACCCCTGACCGTTAAGTTCAGTCGTGGACGACTCTGGGGTTGCGGTGCTCATCTTGCTTTACTGGCTGAGGGAGCCGGTGTACAGCTTCCGGGTCATGTGGCCAGCATGACTAAGCTGCTTCTGGCGAACCAGAGCAGCGCACAGAAACATGGTTTAGCTTCCTGCTGGAGCGGTACCTGTTTATCTACATGCACTTGCTTTTGAACTGCTAGGTTGGCAGGAGCAGGGACCGAGCAAGAGGAGCTCACCCCGTCGCGGGGATTCGAACCGCTGACCTTCTGATCGGCAAGCCCTAGGCTCTGTGGTTTAGACCACAGCGCCACCCACATCCCTTTGAGAACCTCTGTAGACCAGCCCAAAATGGTGTGGTGGCGTTGAATTCTAAAAGATTCTATTTCGTTGGGAACTGATTCATGAGACAAAATCTGGTCTGCTTGGGTAAGAGGGTTGAATATTCAGCATTTTGCATGTGGCGGAGCAGAAATGTGATTGCTGGTTTGCAACTCAGCACAACAAAGTTGCTGAAAGTGAACTGGGAGGTGGGTAAAGTGCATAGGCAGCTTGCAAGCTTAAAGTTTGTTGGCACAGTCCCAGTGCCATTTCTCAGCAAATAGCAAATGCACAGACCCATTGATTCCATAGCCACAATATTCTATGTTGAGGCATCCTGATTCAGAGCTTTTAATGCTGCTTTCTTTGTTAAAGGCTCTCATGTAAATTTATGTGGATGCATGTTGTTGGGCAGGTAATAAATATTAGTGGGCCTTCAGATAATAGTTCTTGTGTGCGTTATTTTGGAGATTATCCTGTCATGTATCTTATGACATGGAGGAAGTGCCCTTCAGAGTGGGAACTAAGAGGCTGCTGACCCAAACGGAAACGGAACAGCCGTAGAAGCCCTGCTCACTTGACATAAGATGTATTCATGCCTAGGAGTGGGATTATAAACACACCTCCCATCCATGTATTCCTACACAACTATAACAGACCTATGCGTAGACCTGGGACACTACAAAATGCATAGAGAGATCCCACATACATTCAAGTAGTGCAGGTGGAGGTTCTGTTCACAACTTGGGATGGATGAGGAGTGTGGAGAGCTGATACAATCCATTATGCGCCCCCCCCCCCCAAGCTGGATATGTTGCATGCATAGGGGAAGAAGAATGCACATTTTTATTATTTGTAATGCTTTGTTGAAGGAAATAAAGACTGAAAACTGCAAAATGGGTTGTGCTCTGAATGCTGGTGATTCAGTACCATAGTTTGGCTTAGGAAACACAGTCCATAAAATGGATTAGTTCTTACATTGTGTTTTCCGATAAGGAGACCTTGTCTCAAGCCATGCATAGTTGACATGATGACCACATGAAGTTACAGTTTGTTCCCAAGATGCATATTAGGAAGCAGATACCCTCAGCTGCCTTCTGTGAATCCTTTAAATTCCGCCTCCCTACAAATAATACTTTTTATGTTTGAGTTAATGCGAATATTAGCCCTAGGTTTGTTTCGTTTTGGGAAAGGGGGGGACAGAGAAATGTTATGGAGGAATCTTCTGCTTGTACTCAAGATGTTGGGAGGGTTCTTGTAGGTCCACCATCTAGTTTGATGCAGGAAACCCAGAGCTAGAATAACCACAACAGATACACCCTCTGCTTGAAAACCTCAAATGCGGAGGAACCCACCACTCCTCTAGGTAATTGGTGCCATTACTGAATTGCTATAACTGTCAGGATCTTTCTGTTAATGCTTAACCAAAGCCTACCCCCTTGTAACTCAAACCCCTGTAGATCTTGTTCTGCCGTCTGGAGCATCCGAGAACAAGGGTTTGCCCTCTTTTATTTGACAGCCTTCAGGTATTTGAGGAGTACTATCATGTCATTCCTCAGTCGTCTGCAGGCTATAATCATGTGCATGTGGTTGTGCAACTGGACATAAATCAGCTAGCTTTGGCCATACAAGTAAAAAAACAAAACAACCCCTCTTAAAATGAATCCATATTGAGGGGAGTGTCTCTGTTTCAACTGAGTGATACTTGGCAAGTGTGCACAGATCTGTTAACACATAACACTGTGACAATGGGAAAAGCAGACTGGAGGGAAATATTTGAGGTGTAAATATATGCACTTTCTTCAAGGGAAGAGGGGTGGCGTTTGGAAGTTTCTATCCTGCACATAAATAGTTCTTGGATGCTAACCACACATTGTTGGCTTCGATCTTAGCGCAGTGGTCAAGAATAAAGGAGAAGCAGATTGCAGCCTAGTGTATTTCAGTGGCTTGGTATAATTCAATAGAGCTGTTTTATTGGACTCTATTAACCTGGTTAACCTTAAGCCTTAGCCATGACAGGAGTTTCATATAAGAACCCATATGTAAAGTGCAATATTGAATTTTAATTAGAGCTTTCAAGACATGAAGTGGAATGAATTCTACCCAATTCTTCCTCACTTCTAATGTACATTTCTTCCCTTAGAGAAGCTTAGGCTTGATAAAATACTGTGTGGTGGGGAGAAAGTATATTTTCACGTGTCGGCATAATTTTAGTTAGTTTGGAAAATCACAATGAGAACAAATTCATTTGTAAAAGTTGATCTCGGATTTATGTTCCATTTCAGTTTGCGATTTAATCACACTTGTATGTTTACCAGTTTGGCACCCAGTCTGGACACCAATTGGTGTTGGTAAGGATTTTTGTGCAATTTTTTTTTTTACGCCCCC